TTAGAGCTCTCTCTTCGGTAGCCAGCACCAGTAACTCACCACATTCCTTAATACCTGTATGTGAAATGCATTTTCTAGATGAATTAATCCCAACAAAAGGTCTCTGAAACCAATCATGCCATTGAGAAAGGACAGGATTCCTTGATCCTGACACAGTACCAAAGTTACCTTAGATGGATCTGTATTCTTTTTGCTTTACAGTTATTCATTTCTTTACTTGTGATGATATACCTTAAAGCAAAATCTGCCTAAATGTAAAAATTCCTTCAGGACTTTTTAGCATGTTAGGGCTGCCTGGAGGAACTCTAACCTCTGACTAGGTTCAAGGATCCCATCCTAGCTCTCTTGGCACAGGCTTCTGCCTGTACACCTCCAGCAATGGGGTTTTTGCTGCCTCACAAAAATGTATGTTTCAGAGTTAGACAAGTTGAGTTGTTAGAATGTTTGGGGTTTTGTTTGTTTTTCTGTTTTGTAAATCCCATTGATGGATCCCTCTTATGCCTTCTGGAATACATGAAATAATTTTATTTTCCTGTCTACGTAACAGCCCTTCAAAGAATTGCAAATAACTGCTACGTTGCTAGTTAGTCTTCAATACCTTAGCTAAAGAACATAAGTTCCTCAACTATTCTTCTAATAGGATGGTTTCCAGAACTCTCACCTACTCTGATTCCTTCTAGATTTTTATAGATTGCATGAGCACTTCTTAGTATAAAGTACTCCATTTTTCTATGCTATGGCATTTAAGGCACTCCATCAGATTCCATTGTGTATGCACTGCTACAATATTTGTCAACTTCCTCCATGTCATTTGACAATCTACAAAGATGTAATAAAATTTCAAGTGTGATCAAGGTGCTGTAATTAAAATCATTCTAAGAAAACATATATTCTAGCAACTACAAAATTAATCACAAGCTGAGTCAAAAATACAATCTTGGGTGCCAGAAAATAATCATTAATCATACAATTCTTAAACTGTGTTATTCATTTTTAACTCCAAATGTTCATTCATTAAGATGAAAATAATAGTATCATTTATGCATCTAGTAAAAGTACTCAGACTTAGTCTTTATTAATTCATCTAACATCTAGCACTCAGGTATTGTTGGTGTCTAATAAAAGGAGATTTGTTTCTGAGCCAGAGCCCACAATGTATTTGGTGTTTTAAGAATTAGAAATTTAACTAAGTGATATCATCACCTGCACAAGGTATTCCAACCAATGAAAGCATTTTTAGGTCTTCTTTTTACATTCATCCAAAAAAGGGGCAATTGAACCAATGCCTAATTAACAACCTTATTCCCAAATTAATTTCTTTCTTTGAATCCCTCCTTTTCCAGCAATTATTTAGTGACACTGATAAAATGTGGAAGGTTAATGGCTTTCTGTATCAATTATTTCCTCTCTTAAAGAGGAAAGCATGTGTTTCACACCTGTGCAGGCCTCTACCATGTGCAGTACCAGGGGGTCAAACAGTCTGAAAGTGTATTACAGAGGCCCAGAGTGAGATGCTGCCAGGCTGGAGACAGAATCAGCCAGGTGTGTGGAGAGCAAACTCAGTACTCACTCTTGCACATTCAATAAAAGCAACCATATCAGAACACTTTGATACCTGCCACGGGCACACATTCCAGGTCAGAATTTGACCAAGTGCACTGATGTGATCTGGCAATTGCTACACAATGTGCAAAGAGCACAGTTGGCAGAAAGACTTATTCTATTCATTTGGGCAGCTGCAAAAAAGGGAATCCTGCTGTCCATGTGTGAAGCTGGGAAGTACCATGCGCAGTTCACAAAACTTTACCCAGATACCAAAGGAAGATTTGCCATGTATTTTAGATTTCTCTTTCATGATGAGGATGATACAAACAATCTGACCATCTGTTCCCACAAACAAATAATATGCTGCATGGATTAAAGACACCCATACTGACTATAGTTGATGGAGGTCCTTTTGTTTTAAGTCCTCATGGGTATTTTTTCAAGTTGTTCTGCCTTGAATCCAAGAATGGAAATAACTGGTTTCTCATCTTCATGGGAGTTTTTAACTTCATGGGAGAATCACAGATTGGAATCTGCCTACCAGAATCACCTAATTCTGAAAGTGTTAGTGTTCAACTTTTTAAATTGCTTTGCCTCACTCTTCTACATTGCCTTTGTCCTGAGGGATATGAAGCTTTTGCGTCAGAGCTTGGCAACTCTCCTGATTACCTCTCAGATCCTTAACCAAATTGTAGAATCTCTTCTTTCTTACTGGTTCCAAAAGAAGCAGCATGTGCAGGTGAAGAGGAAGGTGCAGGTTTTAAAGGCAGACATCGATGCTACATTATATGAACAGGTCGTTCTGGAAAAGGAAATGGGAACTTACTTGGGCACCTTTGATGATTACTTAGAGTTATTCCTGCAGTTTGGTTATGTGAGCCTTTTCTCCTGTGTTTATCCACTGGCAGCTGCCTTCGCTGTGCTAAATAATCTCACTGAAGTTAATTCAGTTGCCTTAAAAGTGTGCAGGGTCTTCAAACGCCCATTCTCAGAACCTTCAGCCAATATTTGTGTATGGCAAGTAATTATTTGAGAAAAAATTATTTCTTAAAAAAAACCAAAATGAGGCATTGTGATTTTAAAAAAAAGCTATGATAGAAGATTTATTTTATAATAAAATGCTTATCCACAAAGCAAATTAGGCTATAATTAACTTCTAAAATAGCCTAGATTTGTCATAATAGAGCATCATTTTAGAAGGGCTTGGTAATGTCTAGAGGAGACCTGGTAAGGTGTGAAGATCTACTTAAAGTTAGTTTAATCCAAATGTTATGAGAATAAACAAAGATTACTTATCAGAATGGAAGAAAAGAACTATTGCAAAACAATTGGTCATGTAATTGGTACTAGCAGAAAAGTAACACAGCAAATGTAATACCTATGCTGTGGCTTGAATGAGAGATGGAAGAGGATGAAGCAGCTTATACTCATGTGCCTCTATAAGAAACAGTCACTAAAAGCCTCTTAAGGAATACTCTGTTTTACAGATTCTGCCAGTTTTATATTCAGGAGGGTTTTTTCTTTTACTCATTTTTTCATGCTCTATTTAAATCCTAATATTCTTTTGGGGACAGGTGTCCCTAGAAATGTATACATGCACAAAATGGCTCATTTTTTTTGGTCAGACTCCTTTAAGGAGCTCATGTTAACCCTAGATCTTCTCCATGGAAAAAATGCATATACAGCATACAGTCTCAAGGGTTCCAATCCATGATTGTACAGGACATCCATGGCCAGAGGTTAAGAACTCTCTGCTTTAAAATATCGTACAGTGATTGCCCCCAATATTTGTAGATATAGGAAAAAGATTTGACTATCACTTTCTTAGGCAGCAATACAGGGAACAATGTCAAAAATCTGAAAAGTGATTGGGGGGGGTAGATAAAAGAAATGGAAAAATATAGCTTGATCCAAATACACAGGGAAAATTCTCTCATTTCTATCAAAATCCTCTTAGTAAAAAATGACATATGGAAAGTGTGTGTTTCCTATCTTCCAGCCAAAATTAGTATAATTCCAAAATAAAGGTAGATAAGAGATGCAAAATGAAGAAAACTGTCTTGGGAAATTCAGGGGTTTATTCTTTCTTATTCATAAATTTTTTTAAATGGTAAGTAATGACTTGACTTTATGATTCACTTTATTCTTGAAACATGTTCCTGAAAAGTTCAGTATATTGAAAACTTTTAGATGGATCATAGAAATTTTCATATTAAAGGACTTGTATGGTGAAAACTTTTGTAAAGTAAGTGATCATCCCCTGATTTATCAGTTTTGTAAGCCCAGACTTTCGATACTATGTTGGCTTAAGGTTTAAAAATTATAATGTACTACAATAAAATAAGAATTATGATTTGGGCCTTCATTTCAACTTTCTAAGCACAGTACATCCAATTAAAAATAAATTAGAAACTGTGGATAATGGATTAAATTGTGTTCAGTTCATGGTATTTCTTTGCTCCCTCTGTATTTTCTTTTTATATTAATTAATTTATTTTCATTAAAGTCTTCTCTAAAATCCAAATATTTAGCAGTGAATTGATTATTCTCTGGGTAAATTACAATTTAAACTATATTAATTGGAAATTGTATTTGTAGGTTTGAAGGAAAAAATTGAATCCTTGTACTGAAAATGAAGCTAGTACGTATTAGTTTGCATTGCTTCTTCAGAAAAGATATCACAGCTGAAGATGATCAAAGGAAAAATAAAGATTTTTATCAAAAAACAAAATTAGAATGCAAAATTTGAAAATAATGTCAATGACATCATTTCTGCCTATTTTATTTTTCTGAATTTTATGATGCATCAATTTCAGCCATAAATTATACTTTAGCAGAGTCAAAAATGCCTTATGAATAATGGCTCCTTATTAATCTCAGCCTTGCTAATGTCAAAAAGAAATATACCATGTGAAACTTTTGTTGCACAATACACCAAATTTAAGCATATTTTTTCATCAGTGTGAAGGTGTCTGCAGGTTAACTCCTCCTGCATAAGGTCATACTTTGTTTAGAGGAATCCTAGGGGAGGTGTTCCTGAGAAAACTATTCTGGAAAAACAAGCAGCATCTCTGTAACTTATGTTGCCCAATATAGCTGTATTAAGAGTGGCATATAGGGATTTCCCTGGTGGCACCGTGGTTGGGAATTCGCCTGCCAATGCAGGGGACAGGGGTTCAGTCCCTGGTCCACAAAGATCCCACATGCCGTGGAGCAGCTAACCCCATGTGCCACAACTACTGAAGCCCGCGTACCTAGAGCCCATGCTCTGTAACAAGAGAAGCCACCAAAATGAGAAGCCCGCGCAGGGCAACGGAGAGTAGCCCTTGCTTGCACAACTAGAGAAAGCCTGCTCACAGCAACAAAGACCCAATGCGGCCAAAAATAAATTAATTAATTATTTTTTTTTAAAGTGGCATATATTCTTCTATCTATATGTTGTTTCTTTCCCATAGATAAAATCTGTGAGAAAAATACACTTGAAGACAAGACCACAAACCCTGACTCTAAAAATCCAGCAGAATCAACTGGAACAAAGCCAGAGCAGAAGGAAATGGGGAATGGGAACGAAGGCCTGGTCAGGTGAGAACTCAATAAAACACATAATACTGCACTCAAAAATTCAAACACCCATCCCCCACTTTAGCTGAGCAAAGGTCGGAGAACTACAATAGTCACATAACACAAGGGACCTGGGCCGGAACTAAAAGGTTGTTTCTGTCCAGTTCATTGTTCCTTACCAGCCTGCCATGGCCACTAACCAGGATCTCTAGGCAGCCATTTGTCCATAGGCCATAGCACACCAACAAAAACATTGTAGTCACATGTCTGAGTCATTAGTATCAGCTTGAAAACAGCTTACATATTTACTAGGCATGAATTTTTTAAAAAGGACTTGAAGAGAATGTATGATTCTTCTCTGAATTCATCAAGAAATGGCTATTCCAATTCTGTAAACATTTTATTGTTCCAGAAGATTGATTATTATTTCCTTTCATCTGCTAAAGAAAGTGTGGTATAATAACCAAGAATAATTACAGAAGCAGATAATCTTTTTGCCACTGAAGGAATACAGTTATATAAATACTTCCTACAAAATTACTGGAAATATCACAAAGGAGATGGCAATGTCAGTGTGAATCAGTGAATCCACAATAAAACCCAACGAGAAGCTCCTTCATTTGGCCACTTCTTAGCATGTTTATGTGCCTGCTGATCCAATTTGAATTGCTTGACTATAGTTAATGTAATTGCGATAAGTGTACTCTTCTTATTTAATAGGCAAGAAGAGTTGTCATTTATAAAGAAGTTAAAAGTACCTATTTCTCCCCCTGACCCCCCATTCCCACTTCTCTCTCAGCAGCTCTACTGTATTAAACTGTGTGCTGCCAATAGGTGTCACCATGATAATCTAGGACCAATTAGGTTAGCACAATAGGCATCAGAAAGAGTTGAACAATAGGCATCAGAAAGTGCATTTTCAATAAGCATATATTTGACTATATATGAAAATAAACACAAGCTCACTCTACTGCACATACAAAAAGAAAAAAAGTTTGACAAAAATTAAGGCTGACATATTATTTAGGCAGAGGGAAGGTACTTAAACTCTGAAGTAAAGATTAGACTCTCACAACTGGGGTAAGTAATTATATTATTTCTATAACTGTTGGTGTTTACAGATGATTTACAGTCCTGTTAGTGAGTCATTAGTGAGTCCTGTTAGTGAGTCCTGTTAGTGAGTCATTGTTATCTTTACTCCACAGATAAGCAGCCAAGGCACAAAAAGGTTAATTAGTTTGCCTGTAATCATAGGTCAGCTCTGCCAAGATCAGACTGCAAAAGACTCAGATCCCTGAGTGGAAATTTTTCCTCGCACCCACCAATACACTCATTTTTAATCAACATCTTAACCTTCTGAACTGATCTCTCTTTCTAGCATTTATTTTAGTATATTTAATTTTTTGTAACAACCAGGGTGATACACAGGTTTTCAAAGGACTGAAGTGGAAGCCATAACTAACATTTTTAGGGATGTATTCTTCTTAAGCCAGTATAGTACTTTCACTCTTCTGAAATATGAAAATGCAAACATTTCAATTACGCAGAAAATGGGTCATAGCTCAAAAACACAAAACTCCTTGACACAGCCTTGTATACTTCCCACCTGTTTTACTTTGTCTTCCCCAACACACAGTTCCTTCCCTGTAGTCCCATCTCCCTGTTCCAGTCATACCTGTCCTATTTCAGACTCTTGTACTCATGAATTGATTATTCTCTGGAATGTCTGATTATTCATTTTGCAATATAGGTAGCAAAGTCACTTGAGAATTATTGAAAAACTGAGTAGACCCAAGTTAGTTTAAAGCTCTGGCTTTATGGCTGGCCACACTTCTCCTCAAGATTGAGGGAGAACCAGCTGTATTGATGGAGCAACTTAAAAGGGTCACTGGAAGTTCCAGTGTCACTTTTGACTAATATTACTGGGAATCTTAATTTCCAGTACCATGGAGGACTTACCAAAGCCTTTCTGTTTTGATTTCATGGGTATTAGTGGTACCACATCTTGAATCCTAGAGAGCAGAGTTTCTATACATAACTAGAAAATATCAATGATAAAATAACTTTCTATTAAAAGTGTTATTTCACAATACTCTCAATGAGTAAAGATGATTTTGGTATTTGCAGTTATTAAAAATCAACAGTTTTAAACTTGGGCAAGGCCAGGTTTTAAAAAGCTCTTTCTCCTTGAAAAACATTAAGGATTTGATTGACTGCAGTCACTAAATACAGATGCTGTGTGAGCGACTGATTCTCACTTCAACTTTTTGAAGTAACAAAAAAAGTTAATTATTAATAAATAAAATTTAAAGGTAGATTTTTTATTCTAAGTGCATTTACATTATCCTCTGACCTGAGCCATGGCTTGAATAGGAATTATGTGTTTAGGATGATCAACATCATCCTATTGTATTGGGGAGAATGCATGCTGTGGATTTTGCAGTCTCTGTGTGTGAAGTGCAGTGTGATATTATTGATTATGCCTTTAGTTTCTGTCACACTCAACAGAAGACAGGCAGAGGTAGATACCAGGAGAACCAACAGGATATAGATATAGATAGATATAGATAGATATCACAACAGGATATATTTTTTTAAAAACGATTTTATATATATAAAGAGATTTATTATAAGGAGTTGGCTCACATGATTGTGGAGGCTGGGAAGTTCCTAAGATCTCCAGTCAGCGAGCTAGAGACCCAAGAGAGCCAATGATATAGTTCCAGTCTGAGGCTGCAAGTCTCAGAATCAGGAGGACTGATGGTATTAATTCCAGTGTGAAAGCTGCAAGCTGAAGACCCAAGAAGAGGCAATGTTTCGGTTCAAGTTTGAAGGCAGGAAGAGCTCATGTCCCTGCCCAGTCAGGCAGGAGGAATCCCTCTCACTCATGGGAGGGTCAGCCTTTTTGTTCTATTCAGGCAGGCTTTCAACTGATTGGATGATGACCACTTACATTAGAGAGGGCAATCGGTTTTACTTAGTGTACAGATTCAAATGTTAATGTCATCCAAAAGCACCCTCACAGACACACCTAGAATAGTTTTTTGTTTTTTGTTTTTTGTGTTTTTTTACATATCTGTTGTATTTTATTGCTTTGGCACAAAGACTATTGCAAAGTGCACACAGAAAGATTAGCTATGATGTAATTTTCAGTTAAAATGAGTTTCTGCTTATAACATAGACAATTTCTAGAGGGCATTAAAAAAACAATTATATGAGTCATGTAAAAGCATTTAACTTTTTAAAAAATATCTTTATTGGAGTATAATTGCTTTACAATGTTGTGTTAGTTTCTGTTGTACAACAAAGTGAATCAGCTATAAGTATACATATATCCCAAATCCCCTCCCTCTTGAGCCTCCCTCCCATCCTCCCTATCCCCTCCCTCTAGGTGGTCACAAAGTACTGAGCTGATCTCCCTATACTATGCAGCAGCTTCCCACTAGCCATCCATTTTACATTTGGTAGTGTATATATGTCAGTGCTACTCTCTCACTTCATCCCAACTTCCCTTTCCTCCCTTGTGTCCTCAAGTCCATTCCCTACAACTGCGTCTTTATCCCTGCCCTGTCACTAGGTTCATCAGTACCGTTTTTTAGATTCCATATATGTGCTTTAGCATACGGTATTTGTTTTTCTCTTTCTGACTTACTTCACTCTGTATGACAGACTCTAGGTCCATCCACCTCACTACAAATAACTCAATTTCGTTCCTTTTTATGGCTGAGTAATATTCCATTGTATATATGTGCCACATCTTCTTTATCCATTCATCTGTCGATGGACACTTAGGTTGCTTCCATGTCCTGGCTATTATAAATAGTGCTGCAATGAATATTGTGGTTCATGTACCTTTTTGAATTATGGTTTTCTCAGAGTATATGCCCAGTAGTGGGATTGCTGGGTCATGTGGTAGTTCTATTTGTAGTTTTTTAAGGAACCTCCATACTGTTCTCCATAGTGGCGGTATCAATTTACATTCCCACCAACAGTGCAAGAGGGTTCCCTTTTCTCCACAGCCTCTCCAGAATTTACTGTTTGCAGATTTTTTGATGATGCCATTCTGACCAGTGTCAGGTGATACCTCACTGTGGTTTTGATTTGCATTTCTCTAATGATTAGTGATGTTGAGCATCCTTTCATGTGTTTGTTGGCAATCTGTATGTCTTCTGTGGAAAAATGTCTATTTAGGTCTTCTGCCCATTTTTGGATTGGGTTGTTTGTTTTTCTGATATTGAGCTGCATGAGCCCAGAATAGCTTTTGACCAAATACCTGGGGACCCTGTGGCCCAGTCAAGTTGACACATAAAATCAATTACCACACCACCTCCATTACTCACATAAAGGAACTGAAAGTTTTTCTGATGCTAAAATGCAATCTTTTCTCACCATTTCACAGTCCTCTCATCTCACCTGCAATGGACTGAATGTTTGTGTTCCCTCAAAATTCACGTTTTGAAGCCCTAACCCCCAATGTGGCATTATCAGAAGATGGGATCTTTAGGAGGTGGACCCCATCATGCATGGAGTTTTTGCCCTTATAAAGAGAACCTAGAGAACTCTCTTGTCCTCTTTCCACCATGTGAAAATACAGCAAGAATCCTGCAAAACAAGACAGCTCTCACCAGAACCCAGTTCTGCTGGCACAGTGATCTCAGACTTCCAACTTCCAGAATGATGAGAAATGAATTTCTGTTGTTTATATGCCACCAGTCCATTGTATTTGTTATAGCAGTCTGAACAAGTAAGACATCACCCAACCCAGCCTTACCCAAAACTCTAACATAGAGCCTCAGTACCCTTGGGCATACATAATAATGACCTTCTTCTTCATCATGCCACATAACAGAAATTCTAATGTTAACTATTTACAAAGTTGGGCATCCTGTTTATAAAATATTCCCTTGTCTCAAATATTGGTTTGTAAGGATACAAGAGTATGGTTATATGCCTAAGCCAAATTCACATGTTATGTCTATTTAGCTCTTTATATAAACACAAAAAGAAGGGGTCAGTAAAGT